CCTCTGATGCTTTTCCTGGGACACTGGAGGCCTGTGTTTTATGTGTCTTACTAGGTTGTAATTTTCTGGAGTGGAGGGCTGAGTTGTCTTAAGACCCCAGAGAGAACACGGTGGTACATAGTAGGCGCTGGCTGGGGGAAGGAGCCCTGCCCACCGCCATACTGGGTCTCCAGGGATGACTTCTTCCAGGAGCTCCACGATAATACAGGTCCTTGGCTTTCAGGATCCAAGCTGTGCCTGCCCACTGCCCCTCTCCCTTTAAAGGCATCACCCACACCCCGTCACCTGTTGATACCCTCTTCCATCCAAGGTGTGGATCTTCCCAGATCCTGAGTGCAGGGACCTGCTCCTGGGCAGGGAGACAAATACTGTCCAGGGGCCTTGTGGTAATATGGACAAAGTCCTTGTAGGTTGCGAGGCATATAGTCAGTGCTTTAGGAAATTAAGTTTTCTCCCTTCGTTTTGGGGGAGTGCCAAAGTAGAAATAGCTATCCCAGCCGTGGGCTGAAAGGCCCTCATGTCCAGGTCCTCCCAGGATCCTCTTGCCCACCCGCCCCTCCCTTGCCAGCCCTCCCCATGGCTGGCTTGAGGCTGTGTCAGAAACAAAGTGAGTTATGCTGGAGCTGAAGTCCCAGCAGCAGGACCTGTGGTAATCAGGACAAGGCTGAATGTAACCCTCAAGGCGAGGCGGCTGCTCTGTTTCTGCCCCCACTGGGTGCCTTTCTGTGGCCATCTGAAGGCAGAGCACGAGCAAGAGACCAGGGCCCGGGGCAGGCTGGCTGCAGCTGCAGCCCGAGGGCTGTTCCCTCCTGCCACCGCACCCAGCGTTTCCCACTTGAACTTGTGAGCAGGTCCCCTGTAAATTGGAGAAGAGGCTGGAAGCAAATCACCTCACCCTTTTTGTGATCCCCCCTGGAAGAAGTTTCCAGACTTTCAGACAGTTGCTTCCAGCTGCTTCCAGCTTCTCTCTCTCTGTAAATGGCTACCGCAGTTGCTAGGTTAAATGACTGGGTAGGCTTTCGCTCTCATTCCTAAGGGTACAGCATCAAACAAGCAGGCAGTGACTCAACCTCTACTGTGTGCATAGCATGGAACCAGGTGCTGTGGTCTTGCCAGGAAGATAGACTTTGAGATCTTCAAACCCATATTTAAAGCCCTAAGTTCTAGTCTCCCTTAACATGCAGAGAGTCTTTTAGGAGATCATATTGTGTTAAAGGGTGGAAAGGGGCTATAACAGCAGGGTGAGACCCGTGTCCTTGAGTGGGGACTGTGTAGACAGTTTGCGAGTCTGGGGTACTGGGCTCGGGAGGAGCGAAGGGATCAGGGTGCTGTATCCACATAGGAGCTTTATCTAATATCAGTTCATTTTCCTCTTCTGTAAATTTAATGAAAAAGCCCAGCCTCCCATGGCCAGTGGAGGGCTGGAATGAGCTGGTGTATGAAGCACAGGTGGAGCCCACGCTGAATGGAGGTGGCTGAGCCCCTTGCCCTGCCTTTCTGGTTTTTCCTGTCTCCTGGGTTGTGTTTCTTCCTGGGATGTTATGCTCACAGGTTCATTAGCAGTGCTAGTGGTGGTGATGGTGGAATACGGAGCTGGCCTAGACGAGTTATGCCCAAGCCTGGCAGCTCACCAGAATTACCTGGTGTCTCAAAAGTCACTGACCCTTGGGGCCTGTCCCTGACCTGCTGCCTCTGAACCTAAACAAGAGTTGTGTGCCTGCATTTGGGACAGGCCCTCAGGTGTGTCTTCAGTAGCCAGAGATGATAGCTGTGTGACCTAAAGTGGGCCTCAGTGGGCCTCTCTGGGCCTCAGTTTTCCTCATTGTCAGACAAGGTTTAATTTCCACTAGGAGACCACTAAAGAGCCATCACCTGTACACGCTGTGAGACTCCAAAACTAGCAAGCAGCAGTAGGCCAAGGGTGTTTGCAAGGGGCAAAGGAGGAAGGCAAGCAGGGCCAGAGCGAGGGGCCGGCTTCCTGGGCTCACCATTTTGAAAAAGCATAGAACACTCCAGAGGCCATCCGCATCCTTAGACATGTAAGGAGGGAAGAGAACTGAATTGCTCATTCAAACTGCTAACAAAGAGACTCCTGTATGGTTGGGAAGGGCCCTCGGATATGCTCTGTGGGCTTGGGGTGCTGTGAGGCCTTCAAAGACCATGTTGAGGTAAAATTAGATCACCTGTCACCCTCATAAGCCTAGCACTTTGGGAGGCTGAGGCAGAGGATTGCTTGAGCCCAGGAGCTCAAGATCAGCCTGTGCAATATAGCAAGACCCTGTTTCTACAAAAAAATCATAAAATTAAACAGGCATGGTAGCACATGCCTGTAGACTCAGCTACTCAGGAGGCTGAGGCAAGAGGATCACTTGAGCCCAGGAATTGGAGGCTGTAGTGAGCTATGATTGCACCACTGCACTCCAGCCTGGGCAACAGAGCAAGACCCCATCTCAAAAAAAAAAAAGAAAAAAAAAAAGATTGCCTGGAATGTGCCTCTGGAGTGTGTGGGAGCTGTGTCACTGCAGGGCTGTTGCTTCGCTGAGAGAGGTGAGGGGGGCCAAACTGGAGCAGCCTGTGGAGGTAGTAAGGCCTTCCAGCAGCCCTTGTCCATTAGGGAGGACCCAGGTTGGAACCTGCCCAGGGCACGCTGCAGCCCTGCTTGGCCCTTCTGTCGCTCCAGCTGTGAACAGCTGTCTCCCATGAGGGAAGATGCTACCCCTAAGACTTGCCAGGACAGAGCGAGCTGTCGAGAAAACTAGGTCCAGGTGTCCCCAAATCCTGTTCAGTAAATGGTCCCGGTCTATGACTTTTTTTTTTGACTCACGGGTGCCCCCAGAGGAAGAAAGGGGAACAGTTCACCGTTGCGGCCACCTCTGCCATTTTTTGGTATTTCTCGCCCTCTAGTGGCCATACAGTGTTGTTCCTTTTGAATACAAAGCTAGTCTCGGCGTCTGGCTCAATTCAGACTTCCTCAAGCATTTACTGAGCGCCTGCTGGATGCTACACCCTGGGATAATCCCTGGGTGAGGTGCAGAGGGAACAAGAATGTCCTGCCCTCGAGGGTCTGTGGGTCAGATCAGCACAGTTAAGTTGGTCTTGAGCGTGGAGCAGGGAGAGTTTAATTCCACTGGGGAACTGGAGACCATCTCAGAAAGGTGGAGATAGCTCAGAAGGGAGGTGTGGAAGGAGGGGAGGAGGTATCCAGAGAGAAACCTAAGCTAGAAGAGTCATCTGCACCTTCTGGAAGCTGTGTGGAGCAGTGGTCTGTGGTGCTGGAGCTGAGAGAGGAGGGCGTGGTGAAGTCGCTCGGAAGAGCACTCCCCTTTAGAAAAGCAGAGCCACTGAAGGTGGGTCAGCTGTGGGGTCACTGGCTGTTCTAAAATGAGCAGTCCCTGCATGAGGACTGTCAGGAACCTGGCTATATGCAGCACGCCACATCCACTCTCCCTCCCAGCCCTGGTGTTGTGTGATTCCAGCTGGCCCCTGCTTATAACCCCACATCCACTCTTCCTCCCTCCGCTCTCCCCAGACTGCAGGCTGCTTTCCTGGGCACACATGTGACCATTCATGTCTTCTTGTGCTTCTTCAGTTATTCCAAGACCTTCGCGGCAAAGTCGCTCCTCCTCACTCTGACAGCCCGTGGCCTCTGAGGTCTTGGCTCAGCCTCCATCTGCCCTGTGCAGGCCCACACTGTCTTCATATGGAACTGTTGGCTGTCGTTCAAAACGCAATACCTTCAACAGCAGCCAGCTTTTATGAATGCAGCCCACCTGCCTTGTCTGCCTGACCTGTTGTTTATTTCTCAGGCTTTCTTCAGTACTCAGATGCCTTCTCTGCCTGCTTGCCTTCATCCCTCCGGGTGCATAGCGTCACTCCCAGATGCAAGAACCATCTGGTGTCCCAGGCCCCCCTGGACCTGGATCTGTGCTCATAGGTTTAGTTGAACAATTCATCTTTTATTTTTTTATTTTTTAATTTTTTTTATACAGGGTATTGCTCTGCACCCAGGCCAGAGTGCAACGGCACAACCACAGCTCACTGCAGCCTCAAACTCCCAGCCTCAAACAGTCCTCTTGCCACAGCCTCCTGAGTAGCTGAGACTATAGGCGAGAGCCCCTACGACCAGTTAATTTTTATTTTTTATTTCTAGAGAGATTGGGTCTTGCTGTTTTACCCAGTGTAGTCTCAAAATCCTGGCCTCCAGTAATCCTCCCACCTCAGCCTTCCAAAGTGCTGGGATTACATTTGTGAGCCACCATGCCCAGTCCTTTTCTACCATAATTATTTGTCTACATGTTTCTCCCCTCCCTAACCCTCCCCCTCAACCAAGAGAGGAGCTTGGAAACAGGTCTTACATTTTTGTTTGCTAACAGTACCTGCTTCTGTTCCTGACCCTTGAAGATGCCCCAAAGTTTAAGTGTAGGCCATGAATGACTTAAATAGCACATGAACCTACATATGTCAAGTGGCTGTGAGGACTGATCTCTAGAAGCACGGAGGAACCTTTAGAAGTACAGATGCGAGACACACTCACCCCAGACCTACAGAACTAGAAGGCCTGGGCGTGAAATCCCTTTACACACCCCTGGCAATCCTGACCCTGACGCCAGCTCTGCTGTATGACTCATGATTGAGAAGCAGTCTTCTGGAAGACCTTTACGCATGGGTCAGACTGTGTGTGTGTGTGTCTGCACATATGCACACACATATGTATTTACATTAAATGTCCAAACATTTTAAATATATAGCAGAATAGATAATATTACAGGCGATGGTATACCGATCACCCAAATATGAAATGTTAGTGTTTTGCAAATTTTGGTTCAAATCTTTTCCTTTTACTTTTGTTTATTTTTGTTTGAAAAGTCAGGCATTATAAATAAAGTTAAAATCTCACCTCATCCTCCTGTCCCCTTCCCTTTGCCTCGTTCAAATGCCCACTGTCCCTAGGAGGCTCGCCTGGGCTCATCTGTAACCCACCCAATGCTCTTTCTCTACAGGGCCCTCCAGGACCACCTGGTGTCCCAGGCCCCCCTGGACCGGGAGGTTCTCCGGTAAGACTGGCTTTGATTTTCTGCAAGGGCACTTAGATGGTGGTTTCCTGGCCTGTGGGACCTGGGGACATCTTTGTGAATGGCCTCTTGTCTTTTATCCACCCAAGTCCAGTGCAAAAACACACACAGAAGGACCCCGATCCGTAGAACCCCCAGCCTCTGGACTCTCAGACCTTCGAAACCCTTGGGTTAGAGTATCACTGGAGCTAATGTGGCACTTTGGCGGCTGCCTCCAGAGTCCGGCGTGCAGAAGGCACGTTAGACCGGGGTTGCCCATTCGGGTGTCTTTTCGTAGTTTGCGATTTGGCTTTGAGGCAAAACAGAGGACCCAGGCAAGCATTTGCTAACATTTCCCCTCCCATCTTTCGGGGCTGCTGAAAAAGTGTCCTGAAAGTGGGCGTGGGGGAGTGGGGCGAATCCACACCCACCCACTGAGTGGGGCAGGGCCTGCCGTCAGCAGAGGGAGGCAGCTCCATCTGTCCCGGCAGGGGGCAGTGGATAGGAAGCCTGCCCCGACTGCAGGCCACACACGCTGTGGATGTGTTAACTTCAGAGGTACAACAACTCCGCATTTCACAGCAGACGACCGAGGACAGTAGAGGCCCCGGGGTGCCCTCTTCAGACCCAGAGGCCTGGTCCCATGCCAGGAAAGAGGTTGAGTCAATGATCTGATCTCTGAACGGGCCAGGCTAACATGTCCATGTGGTCCCCTTTCAGGGTTTGCCTGGAGAGATCGGCTTCCCGGGAAAGCCTGGGCCTCCTGGGCCCGCGGTGAGTGTCCGGAAACGTCTTCCTGCTCCCCTCCTCCCTCTCCCCATTGCTCTGAGGGGAGCGCTGAGCCCTTGCAGCTGGCCCAGGGCCACTTTCCTAGAGCTGAGGACTCCTTGGCCAGCAAGGCCTGCAGCCCTGAAGCTCAGCCTGGGTCTTCCTTCTGTGGTGGTTCACTCTTGCTAGTGCCCTGTCTGCTGGGAAGGCTTCCTGTGTGCCCTGGCCAGCGTGCAGATTAGGACCACCGTCCCCAGGCCACTGCCCTTTCTCTTTTCACCAAAAGACACATTCAAGGGTCCTTTGCTGCTGAAGGCGTGACCACTTGTCCTTGAGGAATTCCCAGAGGGCCAGAAGCAGTGGGTGGGGAGCCGTGTGGCAGCCTTTCCCATTACAATCCCGATCATGTTTTCTCCCTTGCAAACTGAGAGACCCTGGTGCTCTCAGGGGGCAGGTGGAGCTTAGAAAACATTAATGTCTCCCCAGATAGGAGAGGCACAGTTAAAGTTGGCCTGTAGCTTTTCAGGGCAGGATGATGGATGACGTGAGACCTGGGTAGATGCATGATCTACCCTCAGGGAGGCCCCTGGGCCCCCTTAAAGGGATTGCCAGAAAGCTAGTTCTCCCCCATGGAGCCCGGATGGGGAAGGGCCCCGCCGGGAGGATCCCGATGCTGGAGGAGGGGCGAGGCGGAGGTGAAGTGGATCGGGCGGCACACGGGGCAGTTCCCGCTTCTCCATGGAGCACAGATCCACGGGTGAATGTGGATCAAGGCGCCCAGGCGCCCTGTGATTGCGGTAACACCAGCATCCTCCCCAGCTCTGTTGAGCCCCAGTGCAGCATGCCAAAGGGTACTGGACATGAATTCAGTGCCGTGCTGGGCACTCAGGTGATCTGGTCGCGTGTGGGAGGAACACTGGGTGAATGCCACCATCAACGGCAAACGTTTCTAAACACACAGTCAACTGCAATGTCACCAATAAGCGTTTTCCATGAGTGACAGGATCGTCTGAAAGCTCACATACATGAGCAGTCTCATGCAATCCAAAGGGCTCATCAGAAAGTATGCAGATCAGTGTGAACGTTCAGAGGAGGGGAGCGTGTTAGAGGAAGGAAGGCACTGTGAGCATTTCTCATCCGTCAAGATGTGGCTGTAGCTACAGAAGGCTGGAAGCACAGCTTCCGGCCTTAGCGTTTGCTCCTGGTCAAGATCCTGCTTTCATTGACTCAGGCAGCCTTAATCCCCCCAAAAGCCCTTCCTTCTGCCTTTCTAAAGCCTTGGCTTCCAGGACACCTGCTCTGTGCAGGTAGGGCTTCATTAGTCGCCAGTCCAAGCTGGAGGCACAGGGAGAGATGAGTCAAATTGGGTGGCAGCAGGTTCTATGGGTGGAAGAATCACCAGAGTTATGAAAAACATTCACTTTTGAATAGCACTAATAGCTGTGAAGCAATAGCACAGGAGAGATCCCTAACGTCAGTCACGGGGAAGGGTGTGTGTGCCTGACACATTTTTTTTTCCTCCAACTTTTAAGTTCCAGGGTACATGTGCAGGATATGCAAGCTTGCTACATAGGTAAACATGTGCCACAGTGGTTTGCTGCATAGATCAACCCATTACCTGGGTATTAAGCCCAGCATGTGTTAGCTATTCTTCCTGATGCTCTCCCTCCCCCTGCACAACCCCCCTACACCCCGACAGGCCCCGCCCCCGTGTGACCTGACATCATTTAAGGCACAGAGGGAAAGGAGAAGATGAAGTGTCTCTGGTGTAGTGGAAGTAGCCCAGAGGTGGAGTCAGTTAAACCTTGTGGGTCCCTATCACCAGCCCTGTGGCCTTGAGCAAGTCACTTAGCCTGCAGAGCCTTCGTCTCTTCACCTGCAAACAGCTGCGGTAACACCTGGCCTGCCACATCCTGATGGTAGTAGAAAACTCCTGGTGTTGGAAAATATAACATGGAGCTCCGCAGTGCTGGAATTAGAAATAACAGGCAGTAATGTCAACCTATGCCAACAGATTGAAGTCTTGCTTTTTTGAAGGATAAGAGGAATGGAGGATAGCCGTGGGAAGGAAGATACAAGATGGCAAAAAGATTCTGGAGAGGAGAAAGGAGAAGCAGTGTGGACATTGGTGTCCCCAGGGCCTCTTGGAAGCTGAGGGTAGAAATGGAGCCATCGGAGCAAGATTTGGCAGGTGTCCTCCCACGCCCCCACCCTCCATGCATGGCCAGTGTACTGAAAATCAGACATTGCCCAGAGGGTGATATTTGCTTCAGTAATAACAAAGGGAAACATGGTCAGACAGAGACAACAGTGGCTCTGGAGACAGGGCCCTGCTGATCAAAGAGCAGAGGCCCAAGCCTCCTGAATTCTGGCTGCACAAACAGCTCCTGGTTTGAAACGACTTAATGTAAGCCTTTCCTAAATACGCCTTTCCTTTTTATTTTATGTTTCCCCCTCTTGGCCCAGGGACACCCCGGAAAGGATGGGCCGAATGGACCACCAGGCCCACCAGGAACCAAGGTTGGTCACTAATGCGATTGGCACCGGTTTGGGAACCCAAAACACAGAAACTAAAGAGATTCTTGTTTGTTGGTGAATTCTAAAACAAGTCGGTTGCCTGGGTCTTCGATCGGGACTCAATTGAAATGTTTAGATTTATGGGGTCAGATGGGGGAAAGCTCCTTATTTCTTCTCAGATAACTGCGGAAGGATTTGGAAGCCCTAGGCTTTAACATTTAGCCAGGCACAGTGGCTCACAGCTGTAATCTCAGCATTTTGGTGGGAATTAGCCGGGCGTGGGGTGGGCACCTGTATTCCCATTCACTTGGGAGGCCAAGGTGGGAGGATTGCTTGAGTCCAGGAATGCGAGGCTGCAGTGAGCTGTGATTGTGCCATTGCACTATAGCCTGGGCAACAGAGTGAGACGCTGTCTCAAAAAATATTTGATCTGTTAGAAATATGTTCATTTATTTATTTAATTTTATTTTCAAGGAGGAAAACTTCAAAATACTCTTACTAATATAATAAGAGATTTAGATTTTCACAATGTACTGGCGGGGCTTTTTATGGTAGAATTATTAAGATAAGAGCCAAAGGTTAAATAGCATAAAACTGGGGAGCAAATACAGGCTTAATACTTTAAATGAATTATCGTACAACCATACCAGTATTTTAACAAATGAACAAATGAACTCTTCTTTCCTGGTGAGCACACCCAGACTCAAGTAAGCACCTCAACAGTCCTTGAAAGGCAACTTGGAAAGGCAGCTGTTGAATATTATGGGAAAATATGTTGTCATTTTCAATAAGCAAACTTAGAAGGTCAACTTCTTCATGGCAAAATACAGAATAAGTATGGATTTAATTTAGTTTTCTAGGCATTGAATGTAAATATTGTGCATTTTTTTCTTTCCCATCTTTTGGGACAAAGGATCATGGCTGACCAAGTCTTTTTTTTTATTCTTAGAAACACTTATGCAACATCTTCCTTCTTCTAAATCTCTCAGTAAGAGAGAGTGCCAATTCTCCTCAATTATATTTTTCTAAATCAAAATTACAGCTATTGAGTATGGAACCTAGGAGGCCGAATGAGCCACTATGTTTGATGACTGTGGTTAGGTAATCGCAGAGTTGAAGGAGTTCAAAACCACCCTAGTGCGGGTAGTTCTCTTCCTTACCAACCTGTGCCTAGTACTTTGTCTGTTTAACCCAAGCATGGCCCCCGTCTCCTGTTAACTTTGGTGTGTATTCCTTACAGGGAGAACCAGGAGAAAGAGGGGAAGATGGTCTGCCTGGAAAACCAGGCTTTCGGGTATGGACTTTGCCTCTTTTTCCCATTACGCTTGTTATTCTAAGTGGTCTATTTGGGGTGCTGTGTGAATCTCGATTTATCATAGGCATAGCATCTGTACATCAGCCGGTACGTGGCAGGAGACCAATCAGTGAATTGAAAAGGGGCAGGGTTAAAGGCTCCAACCAGGATGGCAACCTGAGGCTGGCAACAACAGAACCAAGACCACCTCTAGGACAGAAGGCGCCAGAGGAGGGAGTGGTTCCTCAGAACCAAGATATGCAGCTGGAGGAGAGAGCCCCGACCCCCATGAGAGCCGTGGCCTTGGGAAGAAGAACATCATCAGTGTCAGGCTTATCCTGGCAGGGAGGGAGGGGGAGGAACAGATATAAGTGCTCGCTCTCTCTCTCTGAACTGCGTTCTACCTCCACTGCGGTGCTTCCTAATGCCTTGACCCTACAGAAAGCCAGAAGGCAAGGAAAGCTAGCAGATGCTTTCCTTGCAATCTGTAGAGTTCAGCCTTCTCGGGCCGGCTTCCAGTGGGTGGTAAAGTGTGAAAAATGGACCTGAGCGGGAAATGGAGGCTCCCCAGCATGTGACCTGGACAGGGCAGCCCCTGTGAGTAGAGAGCCCCCAAGTGCCCTGTGTTGATGGTCACGCTTTGCCCAGGCTCCCTCCAGGTGTGACTGCTGCCCTGCGAGGCTTTTCTGCTGGACCATGTGTGTGTGGTGTGAGTGTGCACGTGTGCATTTGTGTGTGTGCACGCATGAAAACCTGTGGTGCTGAGGAGACAGTGGCCAGACAGGAGATTGTGGGGAGTTCTGCTCCTATCACCCTCCACTCACAGGGCTCCCGCTCTACTGGGATATGAACTACTGAAGGCCAGTGACCGGGTCTTAGTCAACTCTGCACCTCCCATTCCCCACCCACAGGCAAGCATTGCTTAGATATGCAGTACGGGCTTGTCAGGTAGAAAATGCATGATCAAATTCAGCCCAGCCAGAGCACAGGAGTGGCCTGGACCCCACACAGTGGGGGACGCTGGCCCCGTGGGAGGGCACACCTTAGGGCATCCGTTTGCTGGCCAGGGAAGGTGCTGGTGGGCACATGCTGGGCCCTTATGTTCCCTATTGTTTCACTCTTTCATAAAGTGATCGTTTTTTAAAGACCCAATTAAAACCAAGCAGAAAAACACACAGATTAAATTGCATCCAAGCTGTCTCAAGCACACCCAGGTTGACTCAAACTATGGAAAGAGTATTGCCAAGAGCCACTATGAGCCTCCCACTTCCTGGATTCCACATCCTAAGAACTCAGCCCTCACGTCCCCCATGAATGTACCAGTGTGTTCCAATAAGTCTCCCCATGACCACCGACAGGCACCATATCCTTTGTATTTTAAGATTCAATATTGACATTTAAGTATACATCTATACTGATCCCCATGTCATTGAAATGTGATGACATGTAATTTGCTGTTTTTTTTTTTTTGTTTGTTTGTTTGTTTTAATGCATGTCCTGAGGTGGTTGTGTGTGTAGTGGAGTGAATCATGTGGTCTTAAAAGTACTCAGGCCACCTTTCAGTGTTGGATTGATTGGATTGAAATTCTGTCATCTTCCAGAACGGATTGAAAGCATTTATCTAGGTTTACTGTTCTTGACTTCACGAATTTCATGGAGTCAACCATACCTTATGGTTGTGTTTTCTCAAATTTGTGAATTGGCAAATCCTTCTGGGTTTACACTGTATAAACCCCACCTTTCTATTCAGTAATGAAGCAATCCATTCCCATCGAGTTTCTCATGCAGGGTTCTGTAGATGAAGGGGATTGATTATGACAATTATTGGGCTAAAATTACAGGAACCCTCTGGGATGACTCCAGCTTTTCAATCTATGTGTTTTCTATTTCTGATCATCACTAATGGTTGAAAGATTCAGAGAAGCCTACTGCTTTATTTCATGTGTCATTTTTATTTAATTTCTAAGGCTCTGTGTTCAAAACATTTCTCTGAAAAGTTTAAAACTGAATTTCTGCAGTCATGATGCTTTTCCAGCATACTCTCGTAGTCCTAGAGGAGCCCTGGCAGAGGGTCTTGTTACTTTATTTTGACAAAGCATCAACTGAAGATAAAAATTCTTTTCCAAGATGATGATGACTAAGTCATGGATGGCAAATTTGTAAGAGTCCACCTAGGGGGTAAAGCTGTCTGCAGGATGAGCAGAGGCATCGATGTTTTGAGGCTCATTTCGAGAATTCAAGAAGATACCGTTTCACCTCCATTGTGCCTTTGGATTGGTGTTCATGACCCAAATTCAGGGGACACTTCAGATGGTCTTCAATTTTTTTTTAACCAAACTCAGCCCCTTATCCTTTCTCAGCATGTAAGAAGCAACGCCCACTGCAAATGTGCTACTATTCTAGCAGATTGAAAGCGACAATTTGAGTGACGAGTATTTGCACAATTCTGGTTAGAGCAATTCTTACTAATTGTGCTTGTAAACATTGGGAATTGATGGGAGCATCGGAGTGTGTCTAGAATTTTAATAAGTGCTGACTCCAGATGTGTGACACCAGCGCTACAGGATAAAATGTGTACTTACACTAAGCAACGCTTTTAATTACTTTTTTTTTTTTTGTCTTTCTCCTTGATAAGTTGGTAGTTCTGGCCTTCAGTACCAACTGAGTCTGGCATAGCTGCACACAAAATATAGCCTGCATACCACCTGTTCATTCATTCTTTCTTGCATCCATGCATTCATGAGAAAACCACATTTCCTTATTAAAATCTACACTGAAGGTTTCAGTAAATAGCATAATTAATATTAGAAATACACTGTCATTCAAGAAGCTAGTTATTTTAAAGACACATGGTTGGATAAAGATGATAGTCCACACTCACCACCACCACCATGGCAAAGCTCTTTGCATCAGTGATTTGTGAGAACCTGGTAAGTGCAGCAGCCTGATTGATGCTCTTGGATCAGAGATAAAGCCCCTCTGGTCCTGTGTTCCCCACTTCACCCTGACAACACAGTGCTAATTAGGAACTGTTTTAGTCCCCCCAAGGGACTAAACCTGGGCAACATAGTGAGACCCTTCCTCTACAGAATTTTTTTAAAAATCATTTGTGCATGGTTGTATGTGCCTATAGTCCCATCTACTCAGGAGGTTGAGGTGGGATAATTTTTTGAGCCCAAGAGCTCAAGGCTATAATGAGCTATGACTGCACCACTGCACTCTAGCCTGGGTGGCAGAGTGAGACCCTTTCTTTAAAAAACTAAAACTAAAACTAAAAATGGGGCAGTTCTAATAGTTGGAAATCAAAAGACAATATGAGAAAGTGGATTCTGCTCTGCAAAAAATGCTAACCACTTTGGTCTTCAGAGCCCATGACTCTTGGGACTCTAACCATGCTGTATATTTGAAAATTAAGGGTTGTGGCTGGCAGGTGCTGTGAATGTGTGAAGACAACTGGGGAATGGCAGTCATCTCTTTAAAGTGAATGGAGAATAATGGGGTATCTTTTATTGCGTTTTCAGGGAGAAACTGGGGAGCAGGGCCTGGCAGGCCGACCTGGAGAGAAGGTCTGTTTGTTCGTGCTTTTATTTATTCGTTTTATTCATCCATTCATTGTTATATGCTAGGTCTCGTATAAATTATTTAGATGCCAAGAGGAATTAATCCTGGTTTTTGAGAGCTCACTATATGTCCAGGATAAAGTGGACATTGAAGAACAATTGAACAGATGTCAAGAGTGGTGGCCTGCAGGTGTTGGGGGCAGAGGAGAGGGCTTTCCAGACTTGGGGACTGTCAGAAAGGATGGTGAGAAGGGTGACATTGTTACTGAGTCCCAAAGAAACAAGAAGGATTAGACACCAGGAGAGGCAAAATAAGGGTTCCTGGGAAAGGAAACAGCTGAAGTAGACAAGAGCTTGGGGATGCTCCAGTGAAGAAAATTCTCTAGAATTCCCCTTTCTCCACTGCACTGCTTTCCATGTGATGTCCACTACGCCAGAACCACCGGGACATCTGCAGTTCCTGGAGAGCAGAAACTGAGAGCACATGGCCTGCAGCTTGGCCCCTGGGAGAGCCTTCCTGTTGACGCCTCGTGAATATTTTGTTCTCACAGGGAGAAGCAGGCCTCCCAGGGGCTCCAGGCTTCCCAGGTGTGAGAGGAGAGAAAGGAGACCAGGTAAGTGTGGCAGCTTCCTTCCTCCCACGCAGACACCTGGCCCATCTCCACAGAAAGCAGCCCCCTGTGGAGTCTCAGTCCCTTGGGAGAGTGGTCCTTTTGACTGGGTGAAGAGTGTATTTCTCAGTGTTGCTGGAAGGGGCGGGGAAGGGTAGAAGACTACTTGGGTCCTTGAGCTGGGACGAAGGACCATTGCTGGGAGATGTCTCTGGAAAAGGGAGAGCATTTTCAGAGGAGACGGATGGGGTCGAGGGGTGGAAGGCACCATCTGTCAGGGACAAGTGGAGAATGAGGTGCTTCACGCCTAACTGACAGGTTCCCCTCTGAGTTACACTTCACTGTGGTCACTGTGCTGATGAGGCAAGGACAAGTGAGACGAGAGAAATATATAATGGTATGTTTTTGCCAGAGTCATGTTGCTGTTTACCATGGAAGAGGCAGGAATTCAGCTCGGTTTGGGTTCTAATGTTTTCTAATTTTATTTTTATTATAGGGAGAAAAAGGTGAACTGGGACTTCCAGGACTGAAAGGGTGACCCGGGTGAAAAGGTAGGAGAAACTCGCTCTCATTCTGATCATCAATTATTATTAGTTGTTTTTTCTAAAGGAAGAATTTTCTGCAGAATATAGGTTGTGTGTGTGTGTGTGTATGTGATGTGTGTGTGTGTGTATATATTATATATATAATATATATAAGTATTAATATATATTTTTTTTTTTAAATTCAGAGTCTCCTGTGTCACCCAAGCTGGAGTGCAGTGGCATGATCTCAGCTCACTGCAACCTCTGCCTCCTGGGTTCAAGCCATTCTAGTGCCTCAGCTTCTACAGTAGCTGGGATTACAGGCATGCCCCACCACACCTGGCTAATTTTTGTGTTTTTAGTAGAGATGGGATTTCTCCATGTTAGCCAGGCTGGTCTTGAACTCCTGCTGAATTCCTGACCTCAAGTGATCTGTCTGCCTTGGGTTTCCAAAGTGCTGGGATTGCAGGCGGGAGCCACCATGCCCGGCCTATACTGAACCTTTACATTTCCGCAGAATTTAGTTGTGTGCATGACTCCAAAGCTGCTTTTTGAGAAAATAATACGTTAGACATAAACCTCAAACTTTATTGTTTGCAATTGTAAACTTACAAAGAAGATAATAGTATTGGAGTTGACACCTTCATCTCACTGTCCATCCATCCATCCACCCTTTTGTGCCTGTGACACTCAAGCTCTGCCTGAGCTTCTGTCCTGTGCTGAGTGCTCGGTGTGGCCTGTTTATGTTCAGCCTCTGAACACCAGTGCCCCTTTCACAGATATAACAGATATGGTTAGCCCAGGTGCGAGGGCAATGGAGGCGCCAGTGGAGTGTGAAGAACGTACTGAGCAAAAACTCCCGTGTGCCCTGACTCCTGTATCCTTTCCCCTGCATCGTTCATGAGCCCAGCGTGTCACTGCTTGTGTGGTTGGCCCAGGAGCCAGCCTGAGTCAAGGCAGACTCTGTCTAAATCAAGGGGGCATCATTGCATTTGCGGAGCCCTACTGTGTGCCCTGAAGTGCACAGAGAGGCTTCGTCGGCATTGTCTTCCAGGCATATACCATGTCCGTTAGGAGCAGCACAATCAAAATGGACAATGGAAGAGAATTCAATGACAGCGTAATTGCAGGTTGTGGACAGTGCTTAGGGAAGCCGATGGGATGTGGCCATACCCTCCACGGCTAGGAACAGCAAGAGTGGGAAAGGACAAGAGGAGGGGGCTGTCCCAGAATCCAGAGAAGCTGGCAGTCATAGAAGGAGCCTGGCAGTCATTCTGGGCAGAAAAGCAGACAAAACCAGCTCCCCTGGCCTGACATCCTCAGCATCTCGTCCTGTCCTTCTCTGTCCTCTCCATCTCCTACCAGACCACTGGGAATCGGGGGACGAGGTCGATGAGACCTTTGAGGTTGCCTCCTGGGTTGGAGAAAGGAACAGGGGTGGATATAAAGGGACAAACAGAAAACAGCCACTGGTATCCATAAGCATGTTTTGCACATGAAAAGAGCTGAGACTCAGAGAGATTTTGATGCATGCCTAATCTGCAGAACCACAGGTGGAGATGCATGGCCAGCCCGGCCCACAGGGTCTGACTCTGATTGCTTTGGAGGGAGACTTCAGACCACCACTTGCCTTTAGCAACATGCAGGCAGGTTCGAGGAGGAAAAATGCACTTTTAAAATCACAGTGTAACAGAGGATGCATGCCTACTCTCTCCAGCCTTCTTTTACAAAAACAGGATGGGGAATATGATGAACCCTAGTTTGGCACAGGTGGTCTGGGAAAGAACGTCCCTTACTATTTTCACCTCCTAAGGAATCGGATCCCTGGTCCCAGCCCCTTCTTAGAAGAGCAGCCCCCACTCTGAAGCCAAGCAAGCACCCAGGATAGTGCCTGGTCTAGAGAACCACGTAGGTGCTTCACCTATAATATTTCAACTCATGTCAAAGCTCCAGAGAAACCTGTGCTGATCAGGAAGCAGAACAGAATTTTTACAGCCCTGCTTGGTGAGACAACTGCAGTTGCGTGAACCCCCTGTGACAGGTGGACTCATAGGGTGTGATGAGATTTTGTTGTGGATGGAGTCGGGTTGGGTGGGGGTTTAGACTGGAGTCAGCATGTGGCCCTCAGCCAGGATTTGGTCCGAATTTGTCCACTGGAAAATCGCTGATTGACACACGCGTGAGCTGTTGCCGAAACCGCACATGCATGAGATGTTTGTCCATGGTCTTATTTGTCTGGAACGCAAGATCCTTTGCTAAAGCAGCGTGAGCTTGAACGGTGTGCAGGGAAGTCCTTGGTTCCATATACTTGGTATGTTTTGCAAGTTGCAATTTCTTGAGTTTTCCATTTCTCACTCTGGTAATCTTCATAATGATGAACTATGAAGTCATTTCCATCTTAACCCCCAGTTTATAGATGAAAGAACTAAGGCATAGAGAGATGTACTGTCTTACCCACACTCACAGAACCAAATCCTGGCTGGGACCACATGCTGACTGCAGTCTAAAGCACGCCCCCCGACCCCATCCACGACAAAACCTCATCACACCCCAAGACTCCACCAGACAAAGGGGCTTCACACAACTGCAGGTCGTCAGTCAAAGGGCTCTCTTGCCAAGCAGGTCTCTAAAAATTCCACTGTGTTTTCTGCTCAGGCCTACAGAGTGAGGGTGGGTGTGAGTTCAGACAGTTGGATTCTAAAATACATACTTTTAACCACAATGACTGACATCCTTTCTACTAGATTCTAACTTTTGCTTCTAGTTCTTACCCTTTCACCAAAGATATATCCATTTGCTCTGACAGTCATTGTCTAAGAGGACTGATAGGACTTGCCTTCTGCTGATAGAACATGTACCCTCTGCTGGTAGAACACGTACCCTCTGCTGGTAGAACACGTACCCTCTGCTGGTAGAACACGTACCCTCTGCTGGTAGAACCCTTAGTCTCTGTTGGTAGAACACTTACCCTCTGCTGATAGAACCCTTACTCTGTGCTGGTAGAACCCTCACCCTCTACTGGTAGAACCCTCACCCTCTGCTGGTAGAACCCTCATTCTCTGCTGGTAGAACCCTCATTCTCTGCTGGTAGAACCCTCACCCTCTGCTGGTAGAACCCTCACTCTCTGCTGGTAGAACCCTCACCCTCTGCTGGTAGAACCCTCATTCTCTGCTGGTAGAACCCTCACCCTCTGCTGGTAGAACCCTCATTCTCTGCTGGTAGAACCCTCACCCTCTGCTGGTAGAACCCTCACTCTCTGCTGGTAGAACCCTCATTCTCTGCTGGTAGAACCCTCACTCTCTGCTGGTAGAACCCTCACCCTCTGCTGGTAGAACCCTCACCCTCTGGTGGTAGAACCCTCACCCTCTGCTGGTAGAACCCTCACCCTCTGCTGGTAGAACCCTCATTCTCTGCTGGTAGAACCCTCACCCTCTGCTGGTAGAACCCTCACCCTCTGCTGGTAGAACCCTCACCCTCTGCTGGTAGAACCGTCATTCTCTGCTGGTAGAACATTTACCCACTGCTGATAGAACCCTCACCCTCTGCTGGTAGAACCCTCACTTTCTGTTGGTAGAACATTTACCCACTGCTGATAGAACCCTACCCTGTGCTGGTAGAACCCTTACCCTCTGCTGATAGAACACATACCCTTTGCTGATAGAACATGTACCCTCTGCTGATAGAACACATACCCCCTGCTAATAGATGCTGATAGAACCCTTACCCTCTACCAGGCCATCACAAAGAAAATGACAATGAACAAGACATGGCCTAGCATTTAGGGATCTCAGGCTCTACAGGGGATACAGGCATGGACAGGGTTGGGAGTCCCACCCTGAGTAAGACACTGTACCAGGTGTTTGCTTTTCTTGCTGTTTCATGCTCAGCCTCTGACCAAATGCAGCTCTAGTTTCACGGCAACTTTATAAACACCCGCCCCAAACCCCTCTTAGGAGTTTATGTGTGCATGCCTGCAGCTTAGTGGAAAGAGCACCATTCTTGGAGCCATAATGCTGGCCTGGAGTATGGTCCTGGTTCTACCTGCTGTGTGGCATCTTCTCTGACCTTCCTGTGCCTTGGTTTGCCAGCCCAATAATGAGCCTCTGGGTTGTTAAAGAGCATAAGGATTTCCTGTTGGTGGATGACTTGTGGCAGGCTCACCGAGTGTAGGACTGTCCTGAGCACCGTCTGTGTAGGGACTTAGGCAATCTCAGGCCAACCCTGTGAGGGGTTGCTGCTGTCAACAATATCCCCACTTGATAGATGAGGAAACCAAGGCACAGAAAAGCTAAATCGCTTGCCCAGAGCTGCATGAATAGAGGTTTAGAGTCGAGATGTAAACCCTGGCAGTGCACATGGAAAGTCCTGGCTCTGAGCACACCACGCCACACCCTAGGCCTGCCCTGGGGCTGCCTCAGGAGGAATGGCGCCCACACACCCAGAGGGGTCTTGCATCCTTCCTCCTCCTGCATGATGCTTTTCAGGGTGCCCCATTCTCCCAAGTTTACTTTCTCCCCTCCAATTTCCAGCTCTCTTTCTGCGCTGGTGCTTTCTGGGCTCCAGGCAGTGTCTCCCATCCCCCTTCTCTGGGGCTGGAGGCTGAGGACTTTACTCAAGGCGGACTTGTGGTCTATAAATAGAGAGCCCAGAGTGGAAGAGGCTCTGCCTCAGTAAGCCATTCAAGCCTGCTGCTGCCGTGGACTTTTCAGAAATGCAATTTCTATTTGAGAAACTCATTTCCAGAATGCAAAGGCTCAGCGAGACCATAAAGCCCCTTTGATTACTTGGACAGAATTGCCAGGGCCATGGCAGTCACATTCAAGCTTCCAAAGAATCTGGTTTGCCTTTCTTTTCCTCCGGAGAAATATGTGATAATTGACAATTTTGGTCAGAAAATCCAAAAGAAGACATTAAAGCAACATTGCCCTCTTCTGACTATGCCTTGCCCGTCTCTGCCTCTGCTTTTCCCTTCACGTCCCCTGCTCTTCCCCATTACTGACACTTAGGCCTACAGTGTCAGGGAAGGGTGTGTCTGATGCCCCCGTCCCAGCAAGGGGCGCTGACAGTCAAACACCTCATGGAGGAGCTGGGATTAGAACCCAGGCCTGTGGCATTAACCCTAACACCCATTGATCCTTCTTAGTCAAGCCTCTTTTCCAAAGGCAGAGCGCCCCCATGGGTCTACCTGCTCCAGCTCGCTGTTCTTCCCTTGCCCACAGCCCTCAGGATGAGGAGGCTGTTTCCAAAGGGCAGTCTTCATGCCCTCAGGGTGAGAGACACATCTCTCCTCCAGCCCTCTTCTCATTGATACTCGTTCATGCATTCGACTGGGAAAACACTTAACTTTGATCATTTGGACATTTTAATTGAGAGTAAATTGGTTTAGATGAGATTGGTTCTGGAGCTTGAGTTCAACAATGTCAGGAAGAAAATTGGGTAAAATCAAATAATACACAGTAACACCAAGAAAGTGCTTTTCTTTCGGAAGCTACTGGAACTTTAATCAGAGCAACGCCACACAATTGTAAAGGGCATGCATTCTGAGCTTAAAACCAGGCTCGGTCATTTGCAGAATGTGTGACTTAGGGCGGGTTCATTGACGTTTTTATGCCTCTTCATCTGTGAAATGGAGATATATACATACATTATGGGCATTGCTACAAAGATGAAATGCATTCACACATGTAAACTACTTAAACCAGGAGCTGGAATCAAATGCTAAATAACAATAGAAATAATGGTAGAAAAGGATACAACATTTTATAATTATATTATTGTTGTTGACTAAGGGCGAACTTGTCCCTCTCTAAGCCAACTTTATTCATGCATTTATCTATTTCGTAACCATATTTAGAAGGCTTGCAATAGAGCCAGTC